AGTGTTTAGCCGCTCTCCTCAAGAGTAGAGAGGTGGGGTGGTTGTCGAAGGTGGATGCCACCTTAGACATGCTGTTAGGGGACGTCAGAGATTCTCCCATCCAAAACATATGTACTTCTTCCACCCCCGATAGGGTCTACCACTTGGCAACAGAAATCAGGACAAATCCTAAAAGGTGGGATTCGTTTTCAGCTTCCACCAATGCATCGTCCTGAAACCGTCCCAAAGATGAAAGAAGACATAATGCTTGAGGAGAACATATACATTTGACATGCATAAGACCTTTGGACTACTGGTATAGCTAATAAGACAGGCCGCCTGGCGGTGGTAAAGAGGCGGAGCCCAAAGTCATCCATTACCAAACCCTCAAGTTGACCAAACGATCAAAGCATCCCATTCAATCATAGCAAGACAACTACGTGTTTAACCCCTGCCTTTGTCAATTCGTTGATAGCGTTACAAAATAAATATTAAAAACAAGTGATAATTCCTCTGATTCCTCTCAATTTGATTTTCAAGGGTACATCATATATTTCATGTAATGATTTTGATAAAAATCGGTGGAAAATTTTTTTCCGAAAATGCTTTTCTGTTTGGCGCTCTTTTGTTTACCTCAACTACGTGTAAAAGTAAATAAAAGTTCGTGTGCATGTTAAATATTAATGATTGGTCAGAAACCGATGTTGCAATTATTCATTTCTATACTCCTGCCTGCAAATCCCTATCACACCTCATCAACTACTACAGCTGTACTTTGTACCATAAAATATGCATGCATTGGATTTTGGAACATCCGACCCAATGAAACAAACTTTGGCAACTTTGCCTACGGTTGTTTACGAAGGGGCATGAGCGGATCAAATTCGTTAGCACTTCAAAGCTGGTGATTAAAATTTGGCCAAATTAATTATTGCCCGAAGCATAATACGGTGAATGAAGCGTAAGTTAAAGACCAACCTTTTAAAGGTTTAATTTCCACAGCTAAGCCATTTTAATATTTTGGAATGTGTTCCTACAATAAGTACCCCGAGGTTTTCTTAGGGAGGAAAATTTGGAACAAGATGGTGGAAGCTTGTTTACTTCAGATTAGCAGGCGCAAAGAAGGTTACCTACTGAGGAGAGCAATAAACCTAGAGATAATACGGAAATGTAATTTAGATAGCCAAATGAGAAATAAGTATGCAAGGGATATTTCTGCAAGGCTGTTTGAGTTAACAGTTCCATGCAAGGAATTGGAAACTAGTCTCCTAATTAAACTTTCACATTTTTAAACAAACTATGTGAAGATGGCTGTGATTTTTACTAATGCTATTTAGATTTCGCAAACTGACCAGGTTTCTGGAAAAGCTTGCCTTTGCATTAAAGTATTGCCATCTGTTTAAATAACTAAGGCAATCGGCTAGAGTCTTATTTATGGTGTGGTTGTCGATCTTTGGCCTGTTATAGTAATACTTATTCACAAATGTTTGACCAGACAAATTATTTACGAATTAGACCATGCGCGCTTTATTGTTTATTCTTCACACTTAAAATGCAGGCAGCGTTTAGTGTATGGCCGCGTAGAATGCAATCGTCATGGCAATGCACTCAGTGTTGAAGGTGCTCAGAGAGTCAAGAAATCCATGAAGTTGTCAACTTTCCGCATTACGAAGGAGTTAGGTTGCTTTATCATGACTGAGGTCGAATTGCTTTTGCCATTTAACTTAAGGCGTCACCTAGGCCATTGGCTTTTTGTGAAACAATTTTGAATAGTGGTATAGGATTGAGTCGAATAATCACCTCAACTCTGTTAGACGCGATTGAATCATTTAGCAGTGTGTTTAATGTCTAGCTCATAAAATATGATGATTCCAAAACCCATGATTTATCATTAATTTGATCCTTTTTAAAACTTTTGTGAATTGCTAAGGGAATCAAGGAATGACTATTTTTGCTTCTATAGCAAGGAGGTTTTAAAACAGGCCCTAGGTGTTGTCAAATGTCATGCAGGTTTGAATCAATACTTAATACTTCCAATCAATTTGAATGTTGATGTCAATTTGCTTGAAGACTAGTGGGGATGGTTTTTCCCCGACAACGTCGTACGGGGTACGCGAAAGGACGAACTTAACAAATCTCAACAGTTTTATGAAATAAAAGTGGATAATTGGAGGTATGATGACATCATCAATAGCAGAATAGTTCATATGGTTCCCCTGGACCACTTTCTTCTAAAATTTTATCTGACGAGAGCCAAAAATTCACACTACGTTCCGATGAATTAAAGTTAGTATTCATAGATCGGTGGTTCATTGCCAATGAATGCTAAAAGTTATAAGTCCTTGATAGGAGTTGAACTGGCTAGACGATTGTAAGGTCTGATGGTTTTCCTTTTCAGTTGATTGGTTTGGCACTGGTTGTGGCCGGCGCCTGGGCCGTCTTCAATATTCCTTCCTTCATGCAAGCCCTTGCCTTCGCATTCGACACCGACGTTACTGGCAGTGAGCTGTACCAGAACGCCAAATTGACCCAGGCCATTGCCTACGTCTGTATCGGCCTGGGCCTCTTCATTTTCCTTGTCTCCTTCTTCGGGTGCTGTGGTGTCGTTACCGACAGCTGTTGCCTTCTCATTACTGTGAGCCCTTCCCATTCCCACTCGCTTCTCAATGACGAAATTCAGGATCGTTATTTGGCAAATATCTTTAATTACTAAATTCTCCCAAATGCTTCTTATGATGGTGCATCAGCGTCCTTTCAAACGCATTTTAAAGTCAGGGGTTATCTTTTGGATTGTAATCTATTTGAAAAGGTTTAAAATGCCATCAATCCAAATTTTATTAACAGCGTCTCTTTCTCTAAGTACCACTTCGATTTGGAAACAAGTATTTAGTATTTGATGGAATTTTAACTAGGGTCACTCGCATGATGTGACTTAGAGCAATTATGCACAAAGCGTTTATACGGCAAAACAGACGCCATGCTAGGGTGTGTCGGTAAGCCTTACCGAAATGCATACAAATGTGTATCGGATAGCCTTATTGTTGTAACTGCCGGTTTAGGCTCAATGATTGTTGCTTACTTAGCAATTGACTATTTGCATTTCAGTACGCTGTGGTTGTCAGTCTGCTCTTCCTTGCAAAGGTCATCTGTGTTCTCGTTTTCCTACTACTCGGTGAAAAGGTAGACAGTAATTTTCACGATTTAAGACTTGTGAGCTCAATAACTGTAGTGAAGTGAAAGATTTTTACCAATTTCATTGCATATTGAAGTGTAAGAAACCAGAAGACCTTTTAAAAACCTTCTTAAGCATCGCTTTTATGGTGTTGTTAGCCTATAAACCTTGATAACCCACAGATCTTTTGTGCTATTTCAGGCGAAAATGTAACATCAGCCTTTTTTGTCTTCTTGGCATCCTACCAGACATTTTAAAAAGCAAATTTCATAAATGTTCCCTGTCGAGAAATAGAGAGGAGTGACACCCCTCGATGATCCCATTATTTAACGTTGTAGATCTCACCAATCGTTATTGACAAAATTCAAGACGGTTTTTCTGCAAACTACAAGGGCTACTTGGGTCTGCCACATCAAGATGATTCCACGTCTTATTCGCAGACGATGGACACCATCATGCTGAATGTAAGCTAACATCCCCACCAGGTTCTGCTATGCAATTAATCGCCCAGTGGGTCGGAAACTGTAAACTCTTATTCCTCTTTTAGTTCCAGTGCTGTGGGGTGTACGGTCCGCAGGACTTTGAACAAGTAAGGACCTCGGCGCTGTGGCATGAAGTAGGTCGACTGTATGTCAACGCAGAGAGTCGAGAGATTACCGGGGATGCCGTCGGCTTGCCCGTTGCCTGCTGCCAATTCCGCAACATTGATTTCCCCATGAACTGTACGGTTAACAGCAAATCTTTGAATAGGATCGTATTCTTTTGTAACAACATGTTTTGCCACCTTTCAGCTACATTTCACCAACTGCATCGGAGCATGAAGAACACGCAGTGTCCAGTTAAGCCAGTGTCCGCCTACAATACAATGGGCTGTGTCGAAAGAATATCTTCCACTCTGAAACAGTACACAGTGGCAATTGCAGTAGCACCGGTAATAATCGCTGTTATCGAAGTGATAGGCGTAATTTTGGCCAGCGCATTGGCCCACGAAGTGAAGCAGGATGTGGGACGGTTATACTACTAGTAGGAGGACCTATTTCATCCGAGTAGAGAAAGGACAAACAGGCAGACAGAAAGAGACGAAAGGTCTCGTACATAGCCATGAACACAAGACACTCATCCTCTCTTGCAATCATTTGTGAATTTCTAATGAACCACACCTCAAGAATGATCACCGGCGTTCAGTATGACAACCTGTAAAGATTCTAATGGACCAGATACGATTAAAATAGTTCCCATTTTACTGGTTAAATTACTTGTATTTCCACGCAGTTTGCCAGATTTTCTAAAAAAAGGTCCGAAAATCGCAGTAAAACGCCATGCTACTACAAGAAAACAAGTAGATGACATATTTAATTGCATAAAACTATTCTTAAAAATGACTGCATTTAATTTTCTGAAGGGCAGAAAACGCCTTAAAAAGAGGCCTATTGGGTGCATTTCAAATCTAAGCACTTTACAAACGCCCACCGCATGGATAACAAACAAAAATTAAGAGAGGTATCGTTAAGACCGCGAGTCGCCTAATGGGGCACTAAGCCTAAGAGATAACCCGACCTATGACTTAAAGAAAACGCTACCTACTTGTATTACAAAGAACTATTGCTAAGAAAACTACTGACCTCTAATTAGTTATTAACTAATTGCTACCATACTTTTTAATAAGTTCCACGACTCTAGGATTCTTAAAATGAATGATTTGTTAACTGATAGAGTACAAAAAAGGTGGGTTTGACCAATGCGAAAAGAGGAAAAGTTATGATATGTATTGAGTGAAAACCGAAGCAGTAAAACTAGAAAATATCATCGGGAGGACTTGTGGCATTGTCCAGCAGATCTTGAAGAATCCTTCTCTGAGACGGATTAATTTCGGATTGGATAAAACTAGCAGTCGTATCCAATGAGGCGAGATCTTCAGACATATACGCAAGCTATAGCATTGTAAGCAGAGATAAACACTAAACCTACAATTAAGGATTTCAGGTACAAAAACATGCCACTTTCTAAGTAACGAGCAAAGTTGTCTTTCATAGATTCAGCAGCGTCATCGACGTAGGCAGTGAGAGATAATGGTCCCTCTTTAGAAATTTCTTTGGATTTTGGGGGCTATCAATTCGTTATAAGAATGCACAGACATACCAAGGTTGAGAGGACAAGAAGGACCCGGTAAACTTCTGTTTCTTTTAAAAGATCAAGAAATAATTCAATTTCATATCCATGTGTTTCTAAAGTGAGTAAAACAGTATCGGAGTAAACACACCACAAGCATCCATGGAAAGGGTTTGGATCTTAAAAACAGTATTGAGAGCAGAAGAGTAATCACCTAGAGTGAGAATCAGCAAATGAATGCCATATAAGGTTCGTACGAGTGAGAATGTAAATTTGTAAGCATTTCATTAGGATGTGGGTGACACGAGGCGCATCACGGCAAAAAATGTCAGCGGCATGACTATAAACATTTATTGCCTCGGAGAGCCGCTTAGACTTCTACAAAGAAAATTGCATAACTTACAACGGAAGAAAACCGATAAAATATCTCCACAGAATATATAACAGTTGGCAGCATGTGTGAGCGAGACACAGGACTCATAAACCTAAAAGATGTTTGAAAGTAGGGGACCTACCTTTGCTGCTTTGAGAAGGCAGGAAATGGCGTGTTCCAGCAGTTCGCCTGAAGACAAAGTGGTAGAGGTTTGAAGATTTTCCTCAGCTCTTGCAAAGAGACGACCCGCTTCCATCAAAGCAGCTGCCTCAGCGAACCCATCCGAATTCAAAGCTTCACACTGTGCTTTGCCTAGAGCAAACACAGCCGCGTATTCATAGGTATCTTCAGTAGCCAGCAATTTCGCGATGTATGCTATTTCAAATGATGTTATAGAACAATGCCGGAAAACGCACCAAAATCATTCCTCGCCTCATCGACGTTCGCCTGTCGAAATATTTTCCTATATGTGAATGTAAAATGCGACTGTACTTCTGCAATTTCCCTGCAATCTCCCTATACAAACTGCCATATTCCACGTTGGGATTCATTACGGCATTAGTGACCTTGACAGTCACAAGGAGTAGGCTTACAAGCCGTTGTGAAACCTTGGGAGTAAGAAAACGTTACAATGTGATAGATGTAAAAAAGAATGTCGTGGATGTGAAGGCGACCGAAAAACCAACAACCAATCTAAAACACGCCCAAAGATTTACAAACTGAAGACCTGAAATTGTGTTTTTTTTTTTAAATCAGAAAAAGTAAAGTATTTGCAGCACCCTAACAGGATGGAAAGCTTAAAAACCAATACGGCTTTGCTTGCTAAGTGATAATTGATTATACTCAAATAAATTATTTGATACAGCTGGTCGTGTTAAAGAACCATGTGTCAGTTTTCTTTGCGTACTACAGCATCGCTCCGAAATCTGCCTGAAGACAAAAACATAATATGCACCAAAATACATATATTTGACATAGAGCAAAACTTGGGGCCATTGGCATTCCTCGGAGTCCGGCCCACCCTAGCAAAGATACATTGGCAGAAGCCCAAAGTTTTTCCTTCGTCAAAACCGAGAGATAAGCAACCGGTGCATTATGCTACCAAAATCGCACATTCTTTAGACTTACTCAAAAATGAGAGAAAATATGCAGGCAAAAAATGTGCTGTTGAAGTACAGAAGGGATTAGGGCTGCCGGCATAGCCTGGAGGCCAGACAGCTCGAAAATAGGTAGTGGTGAGCCCCCAGGAGCGGCGTTATATGTGTCGAGAATTAAACACACAACTGGATAATGGCAACGTAATCAAGATTTCTTTTAAGGAGCTTGAAGTTTATTTATTTGACCCGGTTGCAGTCATGGGAAAAATTTTGTATACTTTTGCTCAAATTCAAATCAATGTATCCAATGCAAGGTCTAAAATGTTGTGCGTTTTTCATATTTTAAAAACACAGCAAACCAAAGCGGCCTGCATGTTTTACAAATATGCAACGACACACTATTTCTGCTATTTAAAATGAAGTTTTGCGGATTCGCTCAAAATGTTGGTCTAGATTCATAACAAACCCCCATTTCTCACAAAATTCTGATTAATTCATAAGTCACCTTGTTATTTTCTCACATATATTTTTGTAGTTTTATGTTAGACTTTACAGACAATTTTTTATGCACGTGTTTCACCTAAAAGGTCGCTTTGTTGGAGTAGGTGATGTCATGGCAAAAGACTCCTGCCTACTTCAAACTGTCCGCGCAAGTCAAAATGAAATTTTTTGCTTGTCTTTGCCAAAAAAAACTTTGCGGATCCTTGGCACCTGTGTTTAACTTAGTCTACATATTTTTTTATTTAGGGACAAATGCTTATATCGGAAAATCAGCGCTCAAATTTGCCCTAATGCATTTGGACAAGTTTGGGCTGCTTGGTTTTTGTTTATTGTATATATTAAATTTTTATGGGTTTTTTTTAAACCTGGTGTTTTTGTTTTGAGAACTTGGTAATGGTTTGTAGTGTGTGGTCATTCAACCACACTTACTTGTTTTATCCATACTTTGATTCACAAATCCACTACAGCAGGAGGGAATTTCTAGCAACCTTTTCTTTTCTTACCATGTTTTTCTAAACTTTAATTGTATTTGTGGTTCTCTCTTTTTTTAGATATGTCGGCTCCATTCTCCAACACCCACTTGCGCGTTCCTCCCGGGTTTGCAAACATTCTCTGGTGCTTTGCGCGCGAAGTTCTACGCGTTCAGCCACCTGATATACTTAGATTTGGGATGGAATATTTTGACCACCTGTTGCGGGTAAGACTAGGTAAGGTATCTTTGTATTTAATGTAAAATTAACCCAGAAACCGGAGAGGAAGATATTGCGAAACTTGGTGCCGCGATCGATGATAGGTACTACAACAACCGTTCATTTGTAGTGAGTTTAAACATATACTGTCCCTATTACCTTAGGTTATGATATTTGTTAGTGGTTTTTAAATTGTCTTCTTACATACAATTCTACTATTTTTTATTATATTCAGATGTCCACACCTGGGCCGCATTCAAATCGCAATAAACCTCAACCAGGTTACCTTGATGGCTGCAAACCCTAGTTTATTTTCCTGAAGACGTCCTATTCCAATTAATAAAATAAAGCATCTTGTGTGTAGTGCCTAATACATTTTGCTTGTGAGTGGATATGATGCAGACTTTGTGCCTATTGGTTTACAGCCATCAACAAGACTTTAGAAGTTTGGCAGTTGTAGAGTCATTATTAGCTCATTAAATACAAAGTATCTGAATTCAGGCGTGACATTTAATTAGGATCTAATGGGTCATTTAAACATTTTATATTTTGACAGTAACGTTGCGACAAAGCCAAATCGATATATTTCTGCAAATTTTGTGAGGCTGTGAAATCATGGTAGCTTAATCCGTTATCACAGAGTAACTAGGTGTTGGGACTTGCATTTACGTCAAAAAGTTGTGGCTGGCTGATGCGATGTCTAGTATAGTTTGTGGTTTATAATCAAAATTTTAACTCATGCCACATGGTTTGAACTATGATGTCCTAACAATGTAAAAATTGGGTCATTTTGCATAATAAATAACCTCACCTTAACACTTGGTCTTCTTTGCTGTAATACGAATCTATAAAAAATAGTCAAATTTATGTCACTTGCTGAAACTCAAATTGCCTTGGGAATACACTTATGTACAAAGGTATCTTAGATATTTTACTCATATCCGTATTTGTCAAGTTATTCTAATTAAGACTTGAAAGCGCAATGGCAGAACGAAGCACTGATATGATTCATACTTAGAAAGTTGAAGTACGGAAGGTTATGCTTCTTGACATCTAACCATGGACATCGATTTGATCTATTGGGGTTTAGATGGTCATCACAGTATCAGATCAATGTCGAAACTTATCTGCATTAATTCCTCACAGACCATAAAATGTGCAGGATGTCATATTATAATAAGCTAAAACCAGTGCATCTGCGTCTTTTGATAACAACATGGATGCTTCATTAACACGAGAATTAGATTGACAAAATTAACAGTAGATTATGTATGATGCGTCCAGTCTTAAAATCTCAAGATTGGTTACAAGTCTGATCAAGTAGTTGTGGGGTTTTAAAACTCGCGTTCAATAATTTCGTAATATATTTAAGTAAAATTTATGTCAACCTCACTGACATACTCCAGTTCCATTTTTTGTTAAAGGAGCTCTGTGTCTTTGTTTTTATTTAAAATAACGAGGAATCATCGTCTGCTTACACATTTTCCCCGACTATTTCCTAATTTGCCCGCAAGTGATTACTGACTTATATCTAGTGATTTTGTGTAAGTATTATACCAAACATGGTGTAGTACGCACATTCAATAATAACTTAGCCATCATTATTTGGGAATTCAGGAAGGCCACCCTCTATCTAATGGACCGAGAGGTCCTACTTTCACTTAAAAGTAGAAACTTTGTTTGCGATTTTAGAGACAAATAGGGGATTCTGAGATTATACCCGTTCTCAAACCAATGGGTTCACAATGAGATAAAACGAAGTTTATTTTGCATTTGCCAGTCCGTAGATGGATAACGAGAGTGCAAATATGCGAAGTAGATTCAAGTGCGATATATTTAGTCCATTGAAAACCTAATTTTGCACTTACAAGTTGCAATTAATTTCATAGTTGAATTGCATAATCAAGCTAAACATTGGATGTACCCTTATTGATAATGGTAGTAATAGTTATCCCTTATAATAATTTCAAATTTTACCATTATATAAATGAGGGAATTTAATTTTTTGGCTGTCCTAATTATTTACCCTACCTTATTTGAGTTTTCTGTTGTTGTCTGACTTCGGTTATTTTCCGTCTTACACATTAAGTAATTAATCGCATTTTAGATTATTTCGTCTATCCTTCCCATGTTCCATTGTACAATTCCCACCCAAAAGAGTACTTAAGAATGCTAAAGTATGAATGCGGAAATAATAAATTAATAATTGGCATTATCTTTAAATGTTATTTCAATACCTTGTAAGGCCACACAGCATCACTTCGTTGATAAATAAATGCTACTGATTTTAAGCACTACAAGTATACTTAACAAGAGTGCAGTTCTGTATAACGTTTTGAGTTTATGCTATGGTTCTAGGATTCAAGTCGTAGATTTCTCTGTTACTCAGGAAACGGTCATTTCTTTTAGCAATACCACTTAATAGCCAAGACGTAAACATTGGTAGGCTGTGAACACATCGGCAAGTCCATTTGAAAGGGCGTAAAAACTGCCTCGATTTTTTAAGCATGACTTGTTTGTATCATCATCGGAGCAGCTTACAGGGTAGCTTTGAGGGGGTTGAGTGGTCCACTACCATGACTCCATATAGTGTAGCTAGTTGAGAGTTTTGCTTCCGTTTGAATAAACTGTCTGCATTGTAAAAAAATATCCTTTGAATCCATGACTAATTTATCACCAAACACTAATCGAGCCAGTGTTGGACTAAATAGTGCTATCGTAGAAACAAAAGATTTCGTGGTATAAATGCAAACACATAGGTTAACCAAACCTAGTGGTCGGTGGACCGATGCAAGCATTTGCAGTTTGTGGAAGTAATTAGAATCAAGACACATTTATATCACCCACAAGGCGATTTTTGTTTTAGGGCGCTAGCATTTTAGTTTCAAAGTTTTCTAAGAGTCAGTGGAATAGATTTCTGGAAGCGCTTGTTCGAAAGCGAATAATTAAATATGTCACACAGGTAGTTATAAAGTAGCAATGGTAAGAAAGTAGAAGTACAGATTAAACGCCCATTAAATCGCTACAAATTATCTTTTATGACGCCCATATAATCGCCCGTGCCTATTTGCATAATGCCAAAAATACGAGCATATATGCTCATTTTTACGGAAAACACAATTTCAAAAAACTTTCAATGCTCTTATACAAATGAGATATTTCAAGAATATATTTTTAGAAAAAGGTTACAATTCCGTTTAAGCAGTAAAACAACCTCTTTTAACGTGAAAGTAGATCCCCGTTGGGTCTTTCAGATTCCAGGCCATACTTTTATACCTTGGAATGCTACCTTTTTAAATAAAACGTCAGATATGTTACTTTTAGAAATGTTTGAGGTGATGAGGGAGAGAACGGTTCTTTTCATCCATATCAGTGAATAAGTGGTACGTATACTAAAAGATGACAGCAATCCTGTGAGGCTACTAGGTAAATCTGCATCGTCCCTCACTTACACTGTAAAGGCACCGTGTTTGGCTGAGTGAGTGATTTGTGACGTTCAACGTTTATTGAGCGGGAAAACGAATCATTTGCGATCCCAAAACGACGCACTCACCACCCACGGCACGATTCAGAGGTTATGTGGCACTTCAATCCTAGAAAAGTGGGATATATAAGCCTGATACTAATCGCAAGGCAGCTTGAAGGTGTAGAAGCGGAACAATGCATTGAGGAACCGAAAGGACTAGTGAGCTAGTGGAAAGAGAGTTTTGAGCTTAAAAGATGAGGCAATGCCTCCTACTGCACACGACAAAACTGACCAGCGGCAAGATTTGCGCTTTAGCTCGAGAGGATTGGGGAATGGGGGGGGGGGGGGGGAATGCGAAAGAGAGGAAGATAATACTCCATCCTCATTCTTGGTATTCTCCTTATGGTATTCAAGAAATGACCACCCCTCCTTGGCATCAGCAGATAATCAAAAGCGAAATAGAAAGAGGAATAAAATGCGGAAGTGACCAAGGTGAAGTTCATTGCGTTTAGAGACGACGCTGTTCATAATTGTTGACATCCGCAATTTTGTACCTCGTTGGGAGGGGGACAGTAGTCTAGAATGTTACTTGTTCTCGTAATTTAAGTTTAAAAGAATTGCTTGTGGCAATATTGCTTTCATACTAAAAATGCAGCGAACAAATTTGGCTACCTTTTATCACAGCATGAATAAAAGTAGTTAACCCTATTTGATTTTCCAGAAGAAAGGCTTATAACACCTATTAGTGTAACCATAGCACAAAATATGCGCCGCTTTGTTTTGTGCCTAAGTATGAATGAATTACATGAGGGACCTAAATTTAGCATCATTTTCAAACTTCAAAGTTGACCACCGTGATAAACTGAATATAAGTTGCACAAACACTTTTGTACGCCATTCACCTATAATTCACAAGACTTGCATTAAGACTACTTTATCCCCGAAGTTGAAAATGGGTCCTAGACTTCGATACGAATAGTATTTTGTATTGAGCATGGGTCAAAGCTCATGAAGTTTTTAGGCGTACACGAAAATGATTGGTCGGTGCGTTGGCCAATAGGCCATGGCAACATGACATAACAGAGAACTCAAGAGTATATCATTCGAAATCGGGTCAAAATGGAACACATGCAGAAGGTTTGCATCATTTCCAATATGTTTATCAGTTTTGCTATGGTAATGCAACGGAGTGTTTTTTCGGAGTCTTAGTTCTGTTGGAATAGGTAGTTTGAAGCGCACATCCATGCAAGCCATAGCTTAAAGAAATGCAAACATGATGAAATGTGAACATCTTGTGTAAAAAATGTATTTTATTAGCAATGGGGAAATTCAGTGATTTTGGTTTGTTGCTTCTACCCATTTGTTTATCGTAGGTGGTAACCTCGCGTAAGTTTCTTTCTAAATTCAATTATTCAAAGCACCCTTTTGGTGTCCACTACTTGAACAAGTTCGTTGCAATCCATTTAACCGCATTCGTTCGTTTACGCAACTACACAAATTATTTTGCATACTTTTATATTCTGATAAAAGTGGTCGACGGTATATGGTTGTGTCCTTTTTGAGTAGGAAGGAAGTTTTCTGTCTTATTGCTTTTAAAAGCATCGCTCCGTGTAATTCAAAGTATGTCCTCATTTTGAAGCAACTTTCTGTTTCTATGATAAAAAAAACAAGGTTATTTTCTTGTTCTAATATTCGTGTAAGGAATCATTTTCATAAAATACAGGATAGATTACTGGGCAAGATGGGATAGGAGCGCTTACTCACTAGATGAAATCCAATAAGAATGAGGAAAGTAATAAGTACCTTGCACAACTCAAATAGTCAAAGTAAATAATTTTGAATTAAACGGTAACAGCTAGCTTTATTTTAAATAAGTTATAAGTTTATTCTCATTCATAAAAGTAGCCGCCAGAGATGGAGGAAACCATTGACATTGACTTGAACGACCCAAAGGTTGAAAAAGCAGCTGTAAAAATTCAGTCGCAGTTTTCAAAGTTGAAAAGGGACCGCAACTCGAAACCAAGTGACCAGGTAGTCCCTATGGCCTTTTTGAAGATGTTGCTTTTTGGAGTTTCAATAATTCAGCATTTTCGTGCATAAATTTGATTTGCTAACTTTGGTGGAGTTTGAAGTTCTCATACCTGCACTGACTAAGAGTAAACCATTTCTAAAGTATTCAGTTTATCTATTTTGATTTGTAAGTAATACTTATTGCTTAATGTTTGCATCAGAGAGCACATTCCCTCACACATGCATATATCAAAAAATTGTGCTCATTTCATCCAGGTTTCATCGGACTCCCTCATTTTTTTGAGATTTATGAGGCAAAAAGCATAATTAACTCAGTCTTTTAAGTATAACTCATTAATGTGGCTTTATTTCACGAGCTTTTTATTTTATTTGCGTGCTTTTGTACGATTAAGGCCGCGGTTGGCGTAAGACGTGACTGAGGTGGAAGCGAAATTAACGTCAAAAACACTGTTGCAATATAAATACATAAATATATTGATATCTTTTTTTAGTGCTAAGAATTCACACAATTTAAGTAGTTTAAAATGGCGGCTTTTATTTCAGGCTTCCGCCAATCCTCAACAAAATTAATGGAGGTAATAATTTACGCTTTTAGATGCTAAACTTCGGTAAACTTAATTGCTTATTCAAATTTCATGTACAAGTTGTAATTTCATATAATATTACTTGGCTGATGTCTCATTAGAATAAAAATCTATTTCGTCTATTTTCTATTTATTTTAGGAACTCATCGCGATTGTCCTGAGGATCATAAACGGATCCACTTTGGAAGGCATTTCATTCAAACTCTAATACATTTAAACGTAAAGATTAATTTTCTGCATTTAATTTATATTGCCTCCGTGGTCAAAAATTAGTTTTTGAAATCAATGTTCATTGCATTCACTTCTTGTCTTTTTTGCACATTTCAAAAAAAGCGGATAGGTTTGTTTTGGGGAATAGGATTACTTTTGTGATGGTTTTAAGCCCCACTTATGACACCTTACATTGGGCACGCGATGAACAACAAATCTTATCAAATTTATTTAATAAGCAATTGCACAAAAGAGGCCATTTCAGAAAAGCCTCCAGAGAGCAGTTAGGGAAACATGTTCCCAGTCGGCTTGCAATAGAAATTCAGCGTCACAAGTGTTTTTTAAAGGAAATAAATTCATCCTAACTCGAAATACATTATTACTCAAGTGCAGAAAGACGATCCTTAGAATGGTACATCAAAAATATTAAGCGATATTTACTAATTAAAGCCTCTACAAAACTTGCAGACAGAGGTACATTCTCGTGGAAAAAACATTACCTAAACTTGCAGGTATCCGATAAGGTGCCTAGACTTAAACCTTTCGAAATATGAAAGATCCACATGACATACTGCCCGACATAAAATACACTGATGAGAAAACATAATTATATTGACAAGTAATGCCAACATCATTAAAAAGCACGTAAATTTCATGATACATCATTGACAACTTCAGACAACAACTACAGTAAATCATTTTTCGTCCATTCCCGGAGTTAAAGACACAATAACTTCTTTTGAAAAATCGTTATTTCTAATAACAGAAGCATGCTTTGTGAGTGTTTCATTTGTTGGAACTTTCAGACGAAGCTTCACTTTACTTATCCAGTTGCATTCAACATCATGCAATAGTTTTAAGGTAACCTAATAAGCAGTAAGCAAAGCAAAAATTCTGAAAATAATATTTTTAATCTAAGAGAAACCACTACTTTTTTCTAAATGTTCCATTCTTTTGTGGAACTAACGTCTTTTTGCGATGATTTTAAGCTCACACACCCTTGTCTTGAAAATACTGACAGCCGCAAAGGGAAAAGATGGGAGGAGACTGCTACTCATGTCTCGAAAAGTTCTTGTCTGCTTTGGCAATGCAAAAGTCTCTCGTATACTACGTCGTAAAATGGGTGGATTTTTCGTAACCAAGCTTTAGCGGTGGAAATACATAAAGATTACTTTTTACAGTAAAGTGGCGATCACACTATGCGACCAAATCAGTAGCACCTAACATGGGACAAATTGGGCCTTGACAAACAGATTGGTCTAAAAGATAAAAAGAAAGTAGTATTTAAGGTAGTGGTCATAAAATGGACATCATTTAGTGTTGAAGATGACATGCCTTAATGATCATATGTCCCAACTAGATTGTAAATGCCCAGTATTGTTTAGAGGCTTTTAATTTATGATCAGAAAACAAATAAGGAATCAAAAGAGATTATTAGGGTCTATTTAAACCCAATCAACTCATAACCCAATTTTGAAGTGGAAAATATCCTCTGTTTTCTTCTATTTACGTTCCATTTCCGTTCTTTTACCTGCCATTACCAGATAACATCTTTTTACTTGCTATCCAATAGTACAAAATGCTCAGTCAAATTTTGTTTAGATTTTGGGTTTAGGGGTGAATTAAACTAAGTTTTTATTTACTATCATATTTAAATAACGCCTCTATGATTTAGGAAGCTAAACAAATCGGATTTTTAAGCCAGTTTAAAAACGACAAAACTTGTAATCATGAACTGACATTATTGGCACATTGATAGACTCATTTACACAAATCATGATATTCATTAAATAAATCATTTTCTCTCCATCCCTCTGTAACTCAGAGCACAATAATCCTCACTGCTCGCATTAGATGAATCGAGTTTCGGGAATTTACAGAACTGCTGTACAATTTTGGCGGCAATGTATCAAAATTCCTAGCTGAGAGAGGATTGCACCTAACCCTGTGCATAATCAGCAATTCATAAAATTTTTATAAAATTATGCATAATGGCGCTTTTTAAAATCTCTGTATTTAAATAAGGTCATTTAAGCAATAGAACTACCTTAACAGACGACAGTAGTGTAAATCCCAGAGTCCATCAGGCGCACAAGAACTTGGATAAGGGGTTGAGTGACTCTAAACATCGTGGTACTGCCTTACATGTATAATTTTAATCCAATTTAGAGAATTAGGTTTGAAGTGGTGGATTACTTCACCAGGATAAAAGCAGCATAAAAGTAGGTGCAGGATGGACTTACAGAAGATGTACGTCACTGTCATATCCATGCCATAGCGATTGGCAGCCATGCACGTGTAATTCCCGTAGTCACTTTCTCGAATATTTTTCACTTTTAACAGCGAAATTACATCTGTCACCTGAAGAATACGGTGGTCTTTCAGATGCCTTTTCCGAGAAAATAAAAATATGTATGTTTGCCTACAAGTTTAACCTCACAAACTTGATTGGATCGCACACATTGCAGCAAGCATTCTCGGAGGAAAATAGGCCATCATAATCCAATTGAGCTGTGTCCTACTTAAATTGTTCTGTTTTGAACTAGAAAATGGCATTTTATTTCAGCCCCTGAGCGGTCCGCATCTCTTACCGGTTTAAGGTAGGTCTGATTAGGACACGATTTCCCACAACTAGACACCATAACATAGCTCGAAAAATGTGCAACCAGTGTCTCACCTTATTTATTTATAACTCAGAGGTTCATGTTTGTACATGAATCACACAAGTAGCATCCCTTATCAAATCAAATAAGACGTAGAAAACAGTAGACGCCATATTTATCCCCAACATTTCCGAGCACTATATGTATTTTCCTTTGCTTTCTAAGGATATGCAGTCACAAACATACTCCAAACGGAAAAATATCGTATGTTAGGTGAATTGATTACAAGCTATGAAAACGCGTACTTACATTAGTTCCCACTGCTCCATAACTTCGGGTTTTTTCCAGCTCATACTTGGCGCTGTCGTAAAGGGGAATGTTGTTTAATTTGGGATCGTAAATGCCCTTAAACCAAAGCAAATCCGGATCCGGATAGCCGTTCACAATGCACTCCATTATGACATCGTAATTGCTGTCACTTTTCTGTTGAAATCGGGCAAAAGATGCGAAGCATAGTTTTTAGGACCTTTTTCTTTAATCAGTATGCCTCAAGCCTTGCATGAAAATTATAAATGGCAAAATGTTTGCGCATGATTGTGATTAGTTTGACTATGCATTGTTGCTAAGTTAACTTATCTATTATTAACAAAAATACATCATCAGGCAGCAATAAAATTAAATAATTTGTCAAGCAAGTGTTTGACGTTTCACTGGTCACTAATAAAGAAATTGTTAGGCACCTTGCTGACAGCGTTGAGATTATGTTTATTTATGGCTATTTTGGGTATCATTCTATAGTTTTTAAACAAAAAATTTCGAATATGTGGAAAATAAGTTGAAGCATTAACGATGTTTCTTATTCTACTGAGTGTGGTTCCCCAAGCATACCTGTCGAAGCGTCCGAAACCATGGACTTAGCTTCGATTATTCTATCCATTTTCATTAAAAGTATTATTAATTTAAGCAAAGATATTCTTCTTACTTTACTTTTACTTCTTATCTTCTTAACTCATGAACTATATCAAATCACCCTTATCATGGTAATCATGGAAACATGCGGCACAACACGACCTTCGACTATGCATAAGATGGGAAGATTATAGCATTATACACCATGAAAACTGATTCGATAGTAAAGTGTTCCTATGCGTGAACATTCAAGAAGCCAAAGTTTATCATAAAGTTGTTTCAGTGGATGAAACTGGACTTGATGAACATTTACAAAGTATGTTTTGTAAAAATCAGAAAATTAAGGAGTTCTACAAGATGGTAGGAAAGTGGGTAATCAAGCCAACCTGACCGTAGGCTCCCTTATAGCGCGCCAGACGAATTTGTGGTTTGTAGTTGACCTCAAGCATCACATCGTACTCGGTGGAACCGTAGACGTTGTTAGCAGCGTGGCATCGATAGATGCCTCGGTCAAAACGGTTCACTCGAGGTATGTGGAGTGTTTCGTTCTGTGCGTAAATTTAAGTGATGCAAAGTATATCAACATCCCAGAAGCGAAGAAGTGCTCTTCATAATTAAGTCTTCCAGCCATTATACTTACCATTTGATATGATACAAAGAATAATGTATCAAAAACTTTACTGCTGGGTTTATATGACTTCTAAAGTAAATACCATTTGAATGTACAAATAAAAAAAAATTATTTCGGACTTTTTCTGCATCAGCCTTTATTAAAACAGAAAATTTGTTAGCATCTTGCCATTGGGTCTTCCTGGCCTCTCAAATTACCATACCAATGCACACTCCTCCAAAGGTAGTTTTTTGATTGCAAATAATTTTTATTTTTTGGCTTAATTCTTACTTCCAAGCGATTAAATGAAAAACATTCAAGTCTTGAGTTGCCATTAGGGCACACTTTTGCATGTTATATCTAGACGTAATATTGAAATACGTCTCATTTATATTTGATTCTACTTTGTATGGAAACAATGGCCTTTGATAATTTTCTAGGCATATTCTGCAAAATCCTGACAAAGTTGTGTATCGGTTGTCAAGGGTTACGGTAGGGACGGAAGTGCCGTGGCATTCTTGATTTGTGGATAGGCCGCATAAATGTCACAGAACAAACCCAACAGTTTCAAAGCGAAGGATAAATTTTACCCAAAAGCACTGTAAAATAAGCACATTTCCCAAGACAAACAAAAGGCGGTTCGCCCAAATAATTGTGATGGCTTATGATTGCTACATGTAAATAGATTTTCGGTATGAAAGGGTGTGTAGAAATAGTTTCAAATCCTTGATAAAAGCAATCTGAGGCAAGAAAAGTTAAACGCGATCAAAGCAAACAATAGATTAGATTTAAAGGCTTACAATCCTTGATAGGAATTATTGGTGTTTACTACTAATATTACCAGGAAAAGGATATTAAGAATATATGAACCAATTTTTACCCTTTGAAGGCAATATGATTACATTAAACATGTTTAACATTTGACTTTTTGTTTGATTTTGGTGAATCCACCGAAGCGTTATTTAGTAAAAAACAAAACCCGGTATCCCATTCAACAAACTTATCGACTGAGTTTGCAAGCTCAACGAATGCAGCCATCAGGTCTGAGGTTTAGGGCAGGTGGAAAATGAATTATTAATTCTTCGCATTGGTGAGTTTAGGTTACGATACCAAAACTCTATTTGAGACAACACTTCAGAATTGACAGAGGACAGTTGTTACAATTGATAATGCACTCCCTTTTTTTAAAGATGATGACCTGATAGGGAATAATTAAAGTAATAATTACCACGTTAAAAAGTAAAATCGATATTTTTTCCACACTCCTAGATAGCTATCTTTGCAATGTTGTTATAATAATACGGAAAAATTCTATAACACGCCATATTGTATAGCATTTAATCCACATCGGTTCTCAGCAATTCCTCTTGAGTTATTGTCTGAATGTGAGTGTTAATCCATTTCCCAGAATGTTTAGGGTTGACCACTATGAAAAAGAATAAAAATTTGTAACGTTCAAGGAGCTTAATTCTAGCACTCATACGGAACCATTAGGAATATGCAATTCAATTTTATCATTAAAGGCAAATTTAATTACACATGACAAAGTTAAACTTGATAACAACCAACACGTAAGTGCTTTTATTGGTCTAATGAGTCTTGCCATTAGGTTTGCACAAGATACAGATAAATGTATTTGCAAAAATTTTCCAAAAATTTTTTAATGAAAAATTCTATCATAACCAAGAAAAACAACTCAAGACGGTAACTATAGCAGTTGGCTATGCACACTGTCACACTGACGACCATGGCAATCAGCTACCTTCTTTATAAATGAACATAAAGGAATGGCTGATATGGTATATTTTCGAAGAAATAAATCACAATTATTAATCGGCGTACTTTTATACGTTTGGCTTAAGTCTATTAAATTGTATGCTTAAAATTATTTAATAATGGGAAATAAACCATTCATAACGCATATTTACAGTGTGCTATAATCACTAAAATAGATTTGTGCACATAAAAATATATGTACAAAATTTGTTTTTTTAAATAATGTTACATCCAGAGTTTATTCCATTTTAAGCCAATATGGTTTAAATTGGGTAGTTTACTTAATTTATTCAAGTAGGCAATGACATACATAGATTCGCTGCGGTGAGCCTGGAAGATTAAGCGGTCTTCCATTTGCTCTCGTCCAACTGACACGGGGTTGAGCTGAGCCCTGGGCTTGACACACCCAGGTCAGGGAGTCTCCTTCATCAACGATCTTCGATGCAAGCCCTGGAAGTATGATTGGCGCCTGAGTCACTACTAAACGTCCATAAGCCTCCGGCCACAAACGTCGTGGCAACGATTCTTTGAAGAAAATGAATAAAAATATGACAAAAAACATAACTCAGACCTAATATTATATAATATGTGGAAATGCGTCGAGGGAGAATACAGGTTGTAAGAGCATGTTTACAATCTCTGTAGAGCTTTGAACATTTCCATAAAATTTACTGCATAGAAATAAAATACCTTTAGCAATATCTAAAGTTCAATTTCTCCTCGATTAGTAAATGAGAAGACTCACTGATTTCCAGGACGCAACGGTACATTCCATTATCGGTAATATCGGCAAAACGGACTTCAAGTTGGTAGGTCTGAAGACGGTCAACGTCCATACCTGGCATATTTGGTGCAAAATCAGGTCTTCCAGGAAAAAATCTTGCTTGATACTTTTCCAGTCCATAGAGACCTATGCGTACTGGCTCTAGAAGTTTGCTGCCGATGCTAATTTGTCTCTCCCCATAATACCAGCTCGCTTGCTAAAAAAACAATCACAGTGCAACTATTTACTAACAGAATCACATCATAATTGTCTATATCTGAAATAAAACTTGTAAAGTTTTGCCCTAACAACTTTTTTTGCTAATAAGGAATAACTACTGCAAAAGTTTTAGCATTATTCATTCAAAAAATGTTCGACTTATATAAAGGTTATCGTCACATTTTCAGAGATTCGGCAGTCTACTAAAAAACGGCCGCATTGCACCATAGATTCGCAAACTGCGCGGAAGTAAAAAATTATTGCAATTATTTTTTCTTACATTTATTTGAGATTCATCCAGAACCATCGTACAATTTAAGTAACCAGTGTTTTTCTCCTGAACAACTTCAACATTGATCGAGTCAACAATTTGAGGTATGAATTGATTAACGCCCGAAGTGTAATGTGCAAAAACTAGATTACCAGCTCCAACAGCTAGAGAGAGCACAAATAAAATATATTTGTACATTAATTTAATAAACACTAAAATCCGAACACAGCGGTATTTATCAATATATTAAAATAAAATCCATTTACAAATCAAGGTCATTTGCCAAAAAATTGGGAAGAACTGTGCAGTTAAACAAAAAAAATTAAGCCAACCAAATAAATATTTTTTTAAAAAAAGCAAGCTAATATTATTGTGTTCTGCTCGAGATAAACGCATGCTACTGTCATCAATGCGAGGGTCTCAACAAAAAGTATAATATTTTCTTACACAAATTAGGCTACCGTACACTTACAAGAACTTATTTAAGCTAAACTTAAGCAGTGCTATTATAAATCGAAGAATTTGTAATCAGTGTTTGCCTTTTTATTATTTGTAAATCTTCCAATCCGTTTCCTTACCGTTATTTGTATAAAACGTTAACGTGAAAAGTTAACTTTGCTCAGTCTTAAAATGGTGCGCCATCTTTTGCCACCATCGCGTATCTCATTGTCTTTAAATCACCAAAAAGTTACTTGAATTTTATGTCAATTTAATCTTTTGGGGCGACTTCCAAGGAGTGCTGAGTTCTTTTAGATCCCTTTGTGCACTCAATCAAAAGTTTCCTGATTAAAATGTCTTCTTTGTACGTTTTCCACTTTTTCCGTCACTTAAAAGTACCTTGATTATTGTGATTGACTCATCTATCCGAGCCAATTTTTTGCGATGCCATAGAATTCGTACCTATTGTTATTTACGAAATTTTAGTTACTAGCACCAACCTTGCGCGACTCGGCTCTCGACTGATTCACTTGGTTTTTTCTGGGCATTAAATTCCAACGCACTTTTATGCTTGAAATTATGTACCGACGGTAATCCCATCCACCCGTGAGACATCTCTCGACTTATTTTTTGGCAAATAACTATTATTAGCTCAGTGCAAGTGCTTAGATTATCGATTCTCAGGGCCGAATTTTCTGGAACAACGGAACACCATGTGTGTTTCGCGTGGCAGTAGAATAGGCCAATGCACCAATCAGTAGCCTCACGCCCCCGCGTTCGAATCCCATTGGTTGGCATTCTTAGCTAGAACGCGCCTCTGCAGATCGTTTGGCAAATCCACAGGTCTAAATTCGGCCTCGATTTTCGTCCTCCAAGTTACATTCTACACTCAATAAACCAACTGTAGCTAGGTTCTTATGTTCATTAGTTTCTAATGTGTCAGACGATCGATTTGCCAAGATGGTTTTGAGCTTCTCAATTACTCTAACTAACGAGAGATTGATGCCAATGGGCTGCAGACGCTCATGTGCAAACGGGTGTTGATAGATTTGTCTTGGGTGTGTCCAAAATTTCATGAACATGCGTGTTTTATTATCACTTTACCGGTCTCCAACCCGTCTTACAAAGTTGTTGGAATTACAGATTCGGAGCCGTAAGCAAGTTCACTAGATGGGAGTTTATGATGAATGGCATATTGCTTGAGAGCCTCCAGGTTTCGCTCAGTATAATAGGATTTCATGTGAATATGGTATTTTTTTGTGTCGAGAATTGTTAATTAAACAGCAGCATTGTTTGAGGCAAATGTAAGTTAATCCAGGAGAAAACTTTACACCGTTTGCACTAAAGAGACTCGTGTAACTTCCGCATATTAGTGAAATAATTGTAGTTTTCAATATCTTACGCGACCAACAAACCGGTTCCCATTCTAATGGGAACGTAGAAAATCACGTTGCATGTGATTAAATGTTCCCACACTGGTAGTGAGATGATTTCATTAGTATGGCTTGCTGTTCCTCTGAGGGCAAGAGCATCATAGTACTTATTTCCGAGGCTAGAAATTCATGCGAGCATGCATTTGTGGTGGGGATTGCAACACATGAAGTAGGTACAGCGTGGACCTGATCGGTAAAGAACTGCAGATAGTAGAGAATGTCATATAATCCCCAGCATTAGTGCAAATATTTAATCTTAAGAATTTATCAGCGAGAAAACCAAAATATCATTGGGCTGTTATAGAAATTGAAATATTCCACCCTTAGAGTATGTTTAAGGCCACTTCAACTAACAACTGGGGAACCAGTGAGAATGGCTATTTTAAAGTTAGCTTACCGGTAAAAAGGCGACTTGTTGTATTTGACCCCTATAAGATGTAACAAGTGGCAATTGTTCAGGGGTTATAATCGCTATAAAAAACAAATGCTCCAGTTACATAAGAGTGGTGTAATTGTTAATAGTATCTGTTGGTTGATTTCTTCTAAACAAAATAAGTTGCGCCTACGTAGAGCAAGCTAAATGCATCGGCAAATCAAGCATATACTCTGTCCAGGTGCAAATACTTTCAACACGCGATATTTTGTGCAAAAGGCCTTAAAATTAGACCGTAAACAATAACAGTGAAGTTTAGGTAGCATGGAACATACGGAAGGGCTAGAAAGGATGACGGCTTCATAACTCCGTGATGGTTTAAGAAGTTGTTTGTAAATTTTTATCCACATATTCAAAATCATGTCCAAAAGTAGCAATCCATATTAATTTTAAAAACAGTGTTAAATATACATCAAAAATAGGTTATATTACATCAAATATTGAAAGAGATCACATGGTTCTGTGAGTTCCAGGGTCCGGTCTTAACGACCAGTTCAAATTAACTTGAAGATATATTAGAACTAATAATGCTAAAAAATGGCAAATTCCACCATTACTTTCAAGTGATGTTATATTTTTGAATGCTGGCTATGTAATGTCACCCAAAGTAAATAAACTTCCGACAAATGGGTTAAGTGACGGTCTCAAGGCAAATGTGAAAGGCGAACGAATGGCCCAGCTCTTCTTTCGAGAAAAGGACTGTGAAGGATTTTTGGGTACATTCTCACCCCTTGGAGAGGAAAAGGGCTTCTACGCACATTGCTCCGAGCGTAACACCCACGTTGGTATTTCAATAGACCACCTTTTTATCTAAGCAGCCACCACCTCTCCTTTCGTGAAGAGTAGAAAGTATCGACAAATCTGCCATTCTTTAAAGAATCCCCAAGCGATATACTAAAGCACAATGCCAAAACCATCTCAACGTATATTGCATGAATGGCGATTCCATGAGTTTACCCTTGCATGGCGGTTTCTATGCAGTTGCAGTCCCTTTTCTACATCTCAGTTGTAACTAACTACTCAATCAGCCGAACGTCAGCATCAGCAAACTTCGTGCTCTGTGTAATGACATTTTAAAAGGTATGACATTCGCAAATCTAATTTATCGGTTGTTGTAATCATGCGTTTAGGAACAACATAAATCGAGTTTTGGGTATTAAAATAATAAATAATAACCAGAAGTATTTAAAACAATCTTATTCAAACGCATCGACTGTACACATTTATCTTAGACCAACTTTCATTATGATTACCCTGTAATTAGGAATGAAAACGAAAGCCACAGTGCTGCTGGAATTTGTTCATGCCATTTTGAGAATCAGTGAACCTTTCTTGTAGTTTGCGAAATCGTTTAAAATACTATATACAATCTACAGCAAAATGGCTAAGGAATTCTCTGAATTATAAGATAATGTCTCTCTGTTGCTACATACGCACTTGGCATCGTATACCTCAATTAGGAAACCTACTTGCATTTTGTTCTTCAATTAGATATGCAATGGCCTTTATTCTTGCGCGATTAATTATGAAGTATTCTATGTCCTCTGTCTTCTTAATTGTAAAGAGGCACAGTCGATCAGTTTTCTACCTCGCCATAGTTATAAAGTGTAGATGCATGTAAGTGAGGCGATGCCTCACCATTAATTCATTTGAGTTCCCAACTCTTGGATTTGGTAATTTCATTTATGGTCATTTTGAAGATCGGTGGAAAGATGGAGAGTGGGAAAAAAAGGACCAATTAATAGACTAGAGAGTGAAGCTTACGATGTGTACAAGTTTAACTTTCAAATCGATGCCAACATCCTTAAATCCCAAATCGTTTGGTGGTGTTGCTTTATGTAGAAATGTTGATAAAGTAGACTACGAATGCCATTTGACATGATTATTTAGTAAAAAAAAACGTTCCTTTCCCACTCGCAAAAATAATAAACATGAGACACCTTGGCTCCAAATATTTTACTCCTTTTTTTTGAGACTGATGGTCCCTCCAGAAAAAGCATATTATGAAATTACCGCATTGCTTACAGTTCACTACATATCCACTGTTAGATCACGATCTCGACCATCATTTGTGGGTTTCTATAGTAGTATCAGGTTTTTTAATAAATGGGAGGGGTAATTTTGAGTTGGGGTACGTTACAAGGCCCAATGCTTCGAGCATGATTTGTAGAAGCCGAGTCAGTGTTCTCGCAACACTGCAGAATTAACCAAATAAAGTGCTATCCTGCAGATTTCGTAATAGTCTTTACCACCCAATTGCGCTAACACCTTCAAGAAGTGCCTGACTGTCACTTAGCTGTCACCTAATCAACATTTAAACGTTGCTAAACACATCACAATTAAGGCAGAAATTTAGTGTGGATTAATTTAAATTTTCAGGTTTGTAAAATCCTGGTGTATTTTGCATGAAATCGTAATATCTGAAAAAGCTTGATTTATTACTGAAACACCACATTTCAATTAAATGTGCTGGAGAGTGCTCGCCCTAATATTTTTAGCCTATTCCCATGTTAGTAACTCCAATCTAGCAAAAAGCCACACAACACACAAGTGCAGGTTTCCCAATTCTCAGGAGGCAAAGTGTGCAATTTCGTTGATTCAACTCCTTCCACAGTTACTCAAATGTAATCTTGAAATCACCCAAGACTTATCAAATTGATATTTTTAAGAGAGAGTAGTTTTGTAAGAATCGAAGCAGCTATACAAGATTTCCGTTCCACTTTTCTTTAAGTTCGCACCATGCAGAAATGCATCTAACAATTTGGTTGCTGGTACGACTTTTTCAGCACATACATAGACTGTTGGAATTAGTTAGGTTTGATGGGTCACCTTAACAAACTCATTACCACAAATGTGTTTGCACTTGCTTGCATATTTGACTCAGTTTAAAACAACAAAAGTTTTAGTACTTGAAAAGGCGTGCAAATGCGTGCTAGATAGCTGGAGGGTGAGAAAGTGTCACACTTTGCCACTTGGCAGCGATAAAACGCTAATCCTTTATTACTTTTGTATCAAAATTAACATTCACAATAACATGCTATCAATAACCATCTTTATTATTATTATTATAATTATTGAAATCTAGGGCTCTACGCCACGATGTAGTTGGAAAAAGGGGTTGATGTTACAAATATTTTGAAGTTTCAAAGTGCAAAGGTTGTGAAAAGCTCTTCCAAAATTTCCACAGTGACTGAATACATAATCACATATTAAAATAAAAAACTACTTAAAATAGATATTTGGGCAATCCGCAAAGTGGGCGAGAAGTTGAGAACCACAAACTATGAAAGTTTTGTGTAGCTCTACCCTCGCATTGAGAAAAGGGGGCAACACCTCCACTAAGTACCAGTTAAAAACTAGACTAATCTAATGTTCCTCACGGGTGCTATGGTAGATTGCACCCAAACTACCGCCTGATAATGTGAAAGTCTTCACTAGCATGAGAAAGCTAGGTGGAGCATTTGGAGCGTTGAAACTGGAGTGATTCTTAAGCCGTTATTTAAAGCGTCAATGCCAAATTCACGGAGATGACTCACGGAGCGGATTGCTTGCGCCACGTAGCTTTGCAAGCAAAACAATGCCAAGATATCAGAGAACATACGCAAACACTTTTCTTGCTTATTCTCTTCCTCTCGTCTATTCGCAATGGTGTAAATTCTACTTACTCGTTAATACTGTAGTGCCGACTCATCCACCTCAGGAGAGATTCCATGCGGTGCATTTAACTCTGAGTTAATATTACTCATATCCTTATAAAAACGCCACGCACAGACAGCTGTCAAACTAATCTTTTACGTTGACTTCTCGCTAGCCGCAGGTAGACGCTGGGTAATGCCAGGGTAATTCACAGCCATTTTTGCAGGAAAGTTGTTTAATTTGCCTGTGTGGCAAGGTGGAGGGCAATAGTCACATATCGCACAATCTATGTAGTAGATAAACAAGACCTCGAGATATATATCACCGCACCAGCTCCACCGTACAGACACAGTTTAGGTATTTTTCGAATTACATAATCAACATCCTATTTTCTAGTGCAGCTAACACTTCGCGTATCCTGTAAGCAGACGGCATGATGCTAGCTAGCAAAGTAGTTAGTTTCGTGCCAAAAAGGTAGTTTTTTGTCTTTAATTCTTAATCAAGTCGAAAAACATGGCAGTAAAGAATGGTGTGACTGCAAACTTCCAATTTTCTGGAAGTTCGCATTGCCATAAATAAGTTCCAACATTCCGGGACGTTGCGTTCTCGCTCAGGCCCCCCTGTTTGGGTGACATTACGTGCAGAAGTACTTTAAGTGGATAACTATAGGGCCGAGGTCAAGCATTTACTGTAAATGGGTGAGACTGAGAGCAACGCGTGTCTCTGGTATTCTCAGCTGGTCGGCTAGCTACCACCTACCTACACGTCGTGCCCTCTCGTCTACTAATACCTGTCAGCAAATAAAGGCATCTGTTTCGAAATCTACCTATTAATCACTCTGGCTGAGAGTTCTACAGAATCTAAACTCAAGCTTACAACACCACTTCAAAACAGTAGCTTTCAATGTAAGATCATATAGTGGCAGTGGTGCATGTGTTTACAATTCGGAAATGTGACTGTTAGTGTAATAATGGTATGATTGCTATCAATAAAGTAGCAGGTTGCTATGAAACGAATGACAGCTAATTTATTCTCCTGTATGGATACGCCAAGGTGATTACTTTTAGAGAAAAGAAAATTACCAAAATAATAGTGAAACACCACTAGAGTTCGGTGGACGAATAGCAGAAATGGAAATTTTGCAAGTTCTGTCCCCAGAAGTATGTTTATCTGACGCCAAAGTGGTTCTAAATCTAGCACAAAGCCACCAACTTGTGCGTAGATGCGCATGCACTAGACGGCATTTGAACCCTAATAGACATGTGAGAGGAACCAAATCCCAGGCCGCATATTGCATTTCACTAATGAACCACGAAAAGTTAACGAATTGATGAGGGTTGAACTGTTAGAAGTCAAAAGGCAGATATTTAAAAGCAGTGCAGGGAATATTCAGTTCTGAAGTGATTTCTATGATCATCAGTTCATTCTTCGATGCAGAATTCACCAAAACACCGTGTATTCTGATGGTAAAATGGATCACGAAGTCATTGAAGTTGAGTCGGAATTAAAACTTACCAAAAGTGCTACAATAACTGAGTTGAATTCTTCAAAAAGGAGATAATATTGCACAACAACGACTAGCCAACGGGTCTTCCGCGTGCACTAGTTGGTTGTAGGCTGATCAGAGAATTTTTCAGCGTTGGTTTAAAAATTTAACACCTTCCTTCAAAGTCACACCAAACATAATGTCCATTAAAAGTGATTATTTTGGAACATTAATTGGAATTATTCTGGGACTAGAGGAATCATGGGCAAGGTTACAATTACAGAAGGGGGAGGTCAAAAACAATAAGGGAACAGAGTTATTCAGGTAGAGACTATGGTACAAAAGGAGAATGAGAAAGGAGACTAGGACCAATGGGAGCCAAAGTGGCTTTACTTTTTAGACTTAGGCCTCATAGCATGTCGAAGATTACGCAGGAGTGTTGCCGTTCGGTGCCGTTCAGTCTTCTGAGAAGACGATGGCAAATTCGCCAACGCTGATGGATCAGACGCCCCACTTTGAGCACATGCCTCGACATCATCTTCTGATATAAGGCTTTGGGAATAGGGCTTCAGAGGGACGAAGTCATCGCAGGTGGCTAAAAAGTTCAACAAAAGATTAAAATGTGTTGGTAAAAAGAAAAAATTGAATGTTCTACGTAGACAAAACTTACAATTAATGCCATCCTGCTTCTGAGCCTCCACAAGGAGACGCTCTGTCATCACAGCTAAACGTTGACTACCCTGTGAAATGCCGAGATAGATGCGAGCCAGACGGTTATTGGCTTCCCGTAATCGATCTCGGAGATTCCGATTTACATTAAGTTGTTGTTCTAACTGTAAATGAAAGAGAACGGGCGTGAGTCTCCCAGCATAACTTCCACAAAAGAAAGAAATTTGGTAAGGACATACAGTAGTTCCGATAGCATTGTATTGTTGAGTCAGCAGGTGCGCCAATGAACGCAGCTCTTCAATATCATCTAGTGTCTCAATAGCCCAGATCAATTCCTGAATAGGGGCCTTGGACCAACTGCGCGGTGGACTCGGAGAATCTGGAATTCTTTTGAAATCAACGTGTGCGGCAGTATCTGCCACGGCCTCGTATACCAGCGAGGCACTAGCATCTCCATTAAGGAGACGACTCAGACGAAGACTAGTATCCAATAACTCATCGGCCCGTGTTCGCAGTAATTTGGATCTTGAAGAGCGCTTTACTATAGAAACCATTTCCTTCAGGAGATTCCAGCATCTACGAAGCAGGGATTTGATTTCACTTCTGGATTCAAGGTTGAGGGAATTGTGGCTTATCTCCGAGGCTGGTGTCGACGGACGTGGTGGTAAATCATTTTGAGAGGACAGAAGAGCCTCAGCAGTAGGTGATCCATAATGATGGCCATTCGTTACCGCTGGAAGTTCACGGACCTCAGGAAGTTTTACCCGGTAGACTGGCAGACAAGAGGGGTCTATCGGTTGAACCATATCCCAATTGGACATCAACTCAAGCTGCGCTTCAGTACAATCTCTCGAAGGAAAAAAGTTGGATGTAGATGAGCGATTAATAAGATTTTCTCCACCAGGTAGATTGTTCAAAAGATAGAGTACTTCAGTGTCACGAATGTTGAGAAGTCTACGTAAATACAATTCTGTGGAAGGAATCTCAAAGGACACAGAAGGGTACGACGCTTTTCTCACAGTGGGAGCATTGAAAGGTTGGCGGGTGTCATCAACTAACCACAATCGCAACTTGGAGAGTTGATTAGCCAGTGTGGCCAAGGGGAATGGAGAAAGTTTTTTATAGTGGCCTGTGTATGTCGACAACGATTGCAAAAAGGCATCCAAAGACTGAATAACACGGCGCTTTTGTAAATCCTGTTCTGTCGAAAGATCAAGGTTAGGTTCACTCTGACTGTAGTACTTTGTCAACAGCTTTGGCTTTGTAGCATGTAAAGATAAAAATTCGGCCGAGAAAGTTGGAGCTAATGGAGAAGTACGGAACAACGGTTCCGACTTCAGACTGGATTTGGCATTCAGCTGCTGATCCACCTCAGCAGGTGCCAGATGACAAATACAGGTTAATCCAGCAATCGGCACATTTGGGGTGGGCCGTAATTTGCTCGAAGCGCGTTGACATAGGTTCTGGAGTCTGCTGAAGAAATCGAACCAACTTGATATTAGGAATTCAACCTCATCGTCGAGAGTGGATTTTTCTTGAGCACAACCAAGGGCCTGATAAATAGAGCGCCGCAATTGTGCATGGAGGCAAGCAGCAACGCAAAGGAGAGATTTAGCGATAGATGACGAATCGCATTCCTGATCATGGTTCCTATCACAATTCGTGGTAAGAAAGTCGGCAGCAGATGAAAGGAAACTTGAGTCAAACGGTTGGAAAGTGAATGGAGAAATGCGGTCATTATTCAGATTAGATCCAACATCCATGGCACTAGAGGCAAGAGCCAAGCTGTGAAAGGCAAACTTCAGATCAAAGAGGAGAGAAGAGAGCTGCGCGGTCAGAGAGGAAACAGAAGAAGAAAGGATTGGGAATTCAAGGAAAGAAGAAGGAACGGAAGCAATGTTCATGGTATCACTAACAAAGTGCTGAAGAATAAAAACTTTATCCAAGAGTGAGGCATAAAATGAAGAAAGGGTCATTGGACAATAATCCTTATGGTGATTGCGAGAAAAAGAACGATCGTCATGACAACCAGGAATGAAAGACGAGGAAGATGAAATAGGATAATTAAAAGGAGAGGAGGGAAAAACATCATTTGGAGAAGGAGAAGAGACATCACCAGATAAACCGACGGAAGTAGCTAAGGTTTGTGAATCAAGAACCAAAGACGACGATGTATTAAAAACACGCGGCACCACCACCGGCAACTCCGACACCGACATCAACGCTGAATCGCGAGCTTTGGCCTCACTTAGGGTCTACCACTTGGCAACAGAAATCAGGACAAATCCTAAAAGGTGGGATTCGTTTTCAGCTTCCACCAATGCATCGTCCTGAAACCGTCCCAAAGATGAAAGAAGACATAATGCTTGAGGAGAACATATACATTTGACATGCATAAGACCTTTGGACTACTGGTATAGCTAATAAGACAGGCCGCCTGGCGGTGGTAAAGAGGCGGAGCCCAAAGTCATCCATTACCAAACCCTCAAGTTGACCAAACGATCAAAGCATCCCATTCAATCATAGCAAGACAACTACGTGTTTAACCCCTGCCTTTGTCAATTCGTTGATAGCGTTACAAAATAAATATTAAAAACAAGTGATAATTCCTCTGATTCCTCTCAATTTGATTTTCAAGGGTACATCATATATTTCATGTAATGATTTTGATAAAAATCGGTGGAAAATTTTTTTCCGAAAATGCTTTTCTGTTTGGCGCTCTTTTGTTTACCTCAACTACGTGTAAAAGTAAATAAAAGTTCGTGTGCATGTTAAATATTAATGATTGGTCAGAAACCGATGTTGCAATTATTCATTTCTATACTCCTGCCTGCAAATCCCTATCACACCTCATCAACTACTACAGCTGTACTTTGTACCATAAAATATGCATGCATTGGATTTTGGAACATCCGACCCAATGAAACAAACTTTGGCAACTTTGCCTACGGTTGTTTACGAAGGGGCATGAGCGGATCAAATTCGTTAGCACTTCAAAGCTGGTGATTAAAATTTGGCCAAATTAATTATTGCCCGAAGCATAATACGGTGAATGAAGCGTAAGTTAAAGACCAACCTTTTAAAGGTTTAATTTCCACAGCTAAGCCATTTTAATATTTTGGAATGTGTTCCTACAATAAGTACCCCGAGGTTTTCTTAGGGAGGAAAATTTGGAACAAGATGGTGGAAGCTTGTTTACTTCAGATTAGCAGGCGCAAAGAAGGTTACCTACTGAGGAGAGCAATAAACCTAGAGATAATACGGAAATGTAATTTAGATAGCCAAATGAGAAATAAGTATGCAAGGGATATTTCTGCAAGGCTGTTTGAGTTAACAGTTCCATGCAAGGAATTGGAAACTAGTCTCCTAATTAAACTTTCACATTTTTAAACAAACTATGTGAAGATGGCTGTGATTTTTACTAATGCTATTTAGATTTCGCAAACTGACCAGGTTTCTGGAAAAGCTTGCCTTTGCATTAAAGTATTGCCATCTGTTTAAATAACTAAGGCAATCGGCTAGAGTCTTATTTATGGTGTGGTTGTCGATCTTTGGCCTGTTATAGTAATACTTATTCACAAATGTTTGACCAGACAAATTATTTACGAATTAGACCATGCGCGCTTTATTGTTTATTCTTCACACTTAAAATGCAGGCAGCGTTTAGTGTATGGCCGCGTAGAATGCAATCGTCATGGCAATGCACTCAGTGTTGAAGGTGCTCAGAGAGTCAAGAAATCCATGAAGTTGTCAACTTTCCGCATTACGAAGGAGTTAGGTTGCTTTATCATGACTGAGGTCGAATTGCTTTTGCCATTTAACTTAAGGCGTCACCTAGGCCATTGGCTTTTTGTGAAACAATTTTGAATAGTGGTATAGGATTGAGTCGAATAATCACCTCAACTCTGTTAGACGCGATTGAATCATTTAGCAGTGTGTTTAATGTCTAGCTCATAAAATATGATGATTCCAAAACCCATGATTTATCATTAATTTGATCCTTTTTAAAACTTTTGTGAATTGCTAAGGGAATCAAGGAATGACTATTTTTGCTTCTATAGCAAGGAGGTTTTAAAACAGGCCCTAGGTGTTGTCAAATGTCATGCAGGTTTGAATCAATACTTAATACTTCCAATCAATTTGAATGTTGATGTCAATTTGCTTGAAGACTAGTGGGGATGGTTTTTCCCCGACAACGTCGTACGGGGTACGCGAAAGGACGAACTTAACAAATCTCAACAGTTTTATGAAATAAAAGTGGATAATTGGAGGTATGATGACATCATCAATAGCAGAATAGTTCATATGGTTCCCCTGGACCACTTTCTTCTAAAATTTTATCTGACGAGAGCCAAAAATTCACACTACGTTCCGATGAATTAAAGTTAGTATTCATAGATCGGTGGTTCATTGCCAATGAATGCTAAAAGTTATAAGTCCTTGATAGGAGTTGAACTGGCTAGACGATTGTAAGGTCTGATGGTTTTCCTTTTCAGTTGATTGGTTTGGCACTGGTTGTGGCCGGCGCCTGGGCCGTCTTCAATATTCCTTCCTTCATGCAAGCCCTTGCCTTCGCATTCGACACCGACGTTACTGGCAGTGAGCTGTACCAGAACGCCAAATTGACCCAGGCCATTGCCTACGTCTGTATCGGCCTGGGCCTCTTCATTTTCCTTGTCTCCTTCTTCGGGTGCTGTGGTGTCGTTACCGACAGCTGTTGCCTTCTCATTACTGTGAGCCCTTCCCATTCCCACTCGCTTCTCAATGACGAAATTCAGGATCGTTATTTGGCAAATATCTTTAATTACTAAATTCTCCCAAATGCTTCTTATGATGGTGCATCAGCGTCCTTTCAAACGCATTTTAAAGTCAGGGGTTATCTTTTGGATTGTAATCTATTTGAAAAGGTTTAAAATGCCATCAATCCAAATTTTATTAACAGCGTCTCTTTCTCTAAGTACCACTTCGATTTGGAAACAAGTATTTAGTATTTGATGGAATTTTAACTAGGGTCACTCGCATGATGTGACTTAGAGCAATTATGCACAAAGCGTTTATACGGCAAAACAGACGCCATGCTAGGGTGTGTCGGTAAGCCTTACCGAAATGCATACAAATGTGTATCGGATAGCCTTATTGTTGTAACTGCCGGTTTAGGCTCAATGATTGTTGCTTACTTAGCAATTGACTATTTGCATTTCAGTACGCTGTGGTTGTCAGTCTGCTCTTCCTTGCAAAGGTCATCTGTGTTCTCGTTTTCCTACTACTCGGTGAAAAGGTAGACAGTAATTTTCACGATTTAAGACTTGTGAGCTCAATAACTGTAGTGAAGTGAAAGATTTTTACCAATTTCATTGCATATTGAAGTGTAAGAAACCAGAAGACCTTTTAAAAACCTTCTTAAGCATCGCTTTTATGGTGTTGTTAGCCTATAAACCTTGATAACCCACAGATCTTTTGTGCTATTTCAGGCGAAAATGTAACATCAGCCTTTTTTGTCTTCTTGGCATCCTACCAGACATTTTAAAAAGCAAATTTCATAAATGTTCCCTGTCGAGAAATAGAGAGGAGTGACACCCCTCGATGATCCCATTATTTAACGTTGTAGATCTCACCAATCGTTATTGACAAAATTCAAGACGGTTTTTCTGCAAACTACAAGGGCTACTTGGGTCTGCCACATCAAGATGATTCCACGTCTTATTCGCAGACGATGGACACCATCATGCTGAATGTAAGCTAACATCCCCACCAGGTTCTGCTATGCAATTAATCGCCCAGTGGGTCGGAAACTGTAAACTCTTATTCCTCTTTTAGTTCCAGTGCTGTGGGGTGTACGGTCCGCAGGACTTTGAACAAGTAAGGACCTCGGCGCTGTGGCATGAAGTAGGTCGACTGTATGTCAACGCAGAGAGTCGAGAGATTACCGGGGATGCCGTCGGCTTGCCCGTTGCCTGCTGCCAATTCCGCAACATTGATTTCCCCATGAACTGTACGGTTAACAGCAAATCTTTGAATAGGATCGTATTCTTTTGTAACAACATGTTTTGCCACCTTTCAGCTACATTTCACCAACTGCATCGGAGCATGAAGAACACGCAGTGTCCAGTTAAGCCAGTGTCCGCCTACAATACAATGGGCTGTGTCGAAAGAATATCTTCCACTCTGAAACAGTACACAGTGGCAATTGCAGTAGCACCGGTAATAATCGCTGTTATCGAAGTGATAGGCGTAATTTTGGCCAGCGCATTGGCCCACGAAGTGAAGCAGGATGTGGGACGGTTATACTACTAGTAGGAGGACCTATTTCATCCGAGTAGAGAAAGGACAAACAGGCAGACAGAAAGAGACGAAAGGTCTCGTACATAGCCATGAACACAAGACACTCATCCTCTCTTGCAATCATTTGTGAATTTCTAATGAACCACACCTCAAGAATGATCACCGGCGTTCAGTATGACAACCTGTAAAGATTCTAATGGACCAGATACGATTAAAATAGTTCCCATTTTACTGGTTAAATTACTTGTATTTCCACGCAGTTTGCCAGATTTTCTAAAAAAAGGTCCGAAAATCGCAGTAAAACGCCATGCTACTACAAGAAAACAAGTAGATGACATATTTAATTGCATAAAACTATTCTTAAAAATGACTGCATTTAATTTTCTGAAGGGCAGAAAACGCCTTAAAAAGAGGCCTATTGGGTGCATTTCAAATCTAAGCACTTTACAAACGCCCACCGCATGGATAACAAACAAAAATTAAGAGAGGTATCGTTAAGACCGCGAGTCGCCTAATGGGGCACTAAGCCTAAGAGATAACCCGACCTATGACTTAAAGAAAACGCTACCTACTTGTATTACAAAGAACTATTGCTAAGAAAACTACTGACCTCTAATTAGTTATTAACTAATTGCTACCATACTTTTTAATAAGTTCCACGACTCTAGGATTCTTAAAATGAATGATTTGTTAACTGATAGAGTACAAAAAAGGTGGGTTTGACCAATGCGAAAAGAGGAAAAGTTATGATATGTATTGAGTGAAAACCGAAGCAGTAAAACTAGAAAATATCATCGGGAGGACTTGTGGCATTGTCCAGCAGATCTTGAAGAATCCTTCTCTGAGACGGATTAATTTCGGATTGGATAAAACTAGCAGTCGTATCCAATGAGGCGAGATCTTCAGACATATACGCAAGCTATAGCATTGTAAGCAGAGATAAACACTAAACCTACAATTAAGGATTTCAGGTACAAAAACATGCCACTTTCTAAGTAACGAGCAAAGTTGTCTTTCATAGATTCAGCAGCGTCATCGACGTAGGCAGTGAGAGATAATGGTCCCTCTTTAGAAATTTCTTTGGATTTTGGGGGCTATCAATTCGTTATAAGAATGCACAGACATACCAAGGTTGAGAGGACAAGAAGGACCCGGTAAACTTCTGTTTCTTTTAAAAGATCAAGAAATAATTCAATTTCATATCCATGTGTTTCTAAAGTGAGTAAAACAGTATCGGAGTAAACACACCACAAGCATCCATGGAAAGGGTTTGGATCTTAAAAACAGTATTGAGAGCAGAAGAGTAATCACCTAGAGTGAGAATCAGCAAATGAATGCCATATAAGGTTCGTACGAGTGAGAATGTAAATTTGTAAGCATTTCATTAGGATGTGGGTGACACGAGGCGCATCACGGCAAAAAATGTCAGCGGCATGACTATAAACATTTATTGCCTCGGAGAGCCGCTTAGACTTCTACAAAGAAAATTGCATAACTTACAACGGAAGAAAACCGATAAAATATCTCCACAGAATATATAACAGTTGGCAGCATGTGTGAGCGAGACACAGGACTCATAAACCTAAAAGATGTTTGAAAGTAGGGGACCTACCTTTGCTGCTTTGAGAAGGCAGGAAATGGCGTGTTCCAGCAGTTCGCCTGAAGACAAAGTGGTAGAGGTTTGAAGATTTTCCTCAGCTCTTGCAAAGAGACGACCCGCTTCCATCAAAGCAGCTGCCTCAGCGAACCCATCCGAATTCAAAGCTTCACACTGTGCTTTGCCTAGAGCAAACACAGCCGCGTATTCATAGGTATCTTCAGTAGCCAGCAATTTCGCGATGTATGCTATTTCAAATGATGTTATAGAACAATGCCGGAAAACGCACCAAAATCATTCCTCGCCTCATCGACGTTCGCCTGTCGAAATATTTTCCTATATGTGAATGTAAAATGCGACTGTACTTCTGCAATTTCCCTGCAATCTCCCTATACAAACTGCCATATTCCACGTTGGGATTCATTACGGCATTAGTGACCTTGACAGTCACAAGGAGTAGGCTTACAAGCCGTTGTGAAACCTTGGGAGTAAGAAAACGTTACAATGTGATAGATGTAAAAAAGAATGTCGTGGATGTGAAGGCGACCGAAAAACCAACAACCAATCTAAAACACGCCCAAAGATTTACAAACTGAAGACCTGAAATTGTGTTTTTTTTTTTAAATCAGAAAAAGTAAAGTATTTGCAGCACCCTAACAGGATGGAAAGCTTAAAAACCAATACGGCTTTGCTTGCTAAGTGATAATTGATTATACTCAAATAAATTATTTGATACAGCTGGTCGTGTTAAAGAACCATGTGTCAGTTTTCTTTGCGTACTACAGCATCGCTCCGAAATCTGCCTGAAGACAAAAACATAATATGCACCAAAATACATATATTTGACATAGAGCAAAACTTGGGGCCATTGGCATTCCTCGGAGTCCGGCCCACCCTAGCAAAGATACATTGGCAGAAGCCCAAAGTTTTTCCTTCGTCAAAACCGAGAGATAAGCAACCGGTGCATTATGCTACCAAAATCGCACATTCTTTAGACTTACTCAAAAATGAGAGAAAATATGCAGGCAAAAAATGTGCTGTTGAAGTACAGAAGGGATTAGGGCTGCCGGCATAGCCTGGAGGCCAGACAGCTCGAAAATAGGTAGTGGTGAGCCCCCAGGAGCGGCGTTATATGTGTCGAGAATTAAACACACAACTGGATAATGGCAACGTAATCAAGATTTCTTTTAAGGAGCTTGAAGTTTATTTATTTGACCCGGTTGCAGTCATGGGAAAAATTTTGTATACTTTTGCTCAAATTCAAATCAATGTATCCAATGCAAGGTCTAAAATGTTGTGCGTTTTTCATATTTTAAAAACACAGCAAACCAAAGCGGCCTGCATGTTTTACAAATATGCAACGACACACTATTTCTGCTATTTAAAATGAAGTTTTGCGGATTCGCTCAAAATGTTGGTCTAGATTCATAACAAACCCCCATTTCTCACAAAATTCTGATTAATTCATAAGTCACCTTGTTATTTTCTCACATATATTTTTGTAGTTTTATGTTAGACTTTACAGACAATTTTTTATGCACGTGTTTCACCTAAAAGGTCGCTTTGTTGGAGTAGGTGATGTCATGGCAAAAGACTCCTGCCTACTTCAAACTGTCCGCGCAAGTCAAAATGAAATTTTTTGCTTGTCTTTGCCAAAAAAAACTTTGCGGATCCTTGGCACCTGTGTTTAACTTAGTCTACATATTTTTTTATTTAGGGACAAATGCTTATATCGGAAAATCAGCGCTCAAATTTGCCCTAATGCATTTGGACAAGTTTGGGCTGCTTGGTTTTTGTTTATTGTATATATTAAATTTTTATGGGTTTTTTTTAAACCTGGTGTTTTTGTTTTGAGAACTTGGTAATGGTTTGTAGTGTGTGGTCATTCAACCACACTTACTTGTTTTATCCATACTTTGATTCACAAATCCACTACAGCAGGAGGGAATTTCTAGCAACCTTTTCTTTTCTTACCATGTTTTTCTAAACTTTAATTGTATTTGTGGTTCTCTCTTTTTTTAGATATGTCGGCTCCATTCTCCAACACCCACTTGCGCGTTCCTCCCGGGTTTGCAAACATTCTCTGGTGCTTTGCGCGCGAAGTTCTACGCGTTCAGCCACCTGATATACTTAGATTTGGGATGGAATATTTTGACCACCTGTTGCGGGTAAGACTAGGTAAGGTATCTTTGTATTTAATGTAAAATTAACCCAGAAACCGGAGAGGAAGATATTGCGAAACTTGGTGCCGCGATCGATGATAGGTACTACAACAACCGTTCATTTGTAGTGAGTTTAAACATATACTGTCCCTATTACCTTAGGTTATGATATTTGTTAGTGGTTTTTAAATTGTCTTCTTACATACAATTCTACTATTTTTTATTATATTCAGATGTCCACACCTGGGCCGCATTCAAATCGCAATAAACCTCAACCAGGTTACCTTGATGGCTGCAAACCCTAGTTTATTTTCCTGAAGACGTCCTATTCCAATTAATAAAATAAAGCATCTTGTGTGTAGTGCCTAATACATTTTGCTTGTGAGTGGATATGATGCAGACTTTGTGCCTATTGGTTTACAGCCATCAACAAGACTTTAGAAGTTTGGCAGTTGTAGAGTCATTATTAGCTCATTAAATACAAAGTATCTGAATTCAGGCGTGACATTTAATTAGGATCTAATGGGTCATTTAAACATTTTATATTTTGACAGTAACGTTGCGACAAAGCCAAATCGATATATTTCTGCAAATTTTGTGAGGCTGTGAAATCATGGTAGCTTAATCCGTTATCACAGAGTAACTAGGTGTTGGGACTTGCATTTACGTCAAAAAGTTGTGGCTGGCTGATGCGATGTCTAGTATAGTTTGTGGTTTATAATCAAAATTTTAACTCATGCCACATGGTTTGAACTATGATGTCCTAACAATGTAAAAATTGGGTCATTTTGCATAATAAATAACCTCACCTTAACACTTGGTCTTCTTTGCTGTAATACGAATCTATAAAAAATAGTCAAATTTATGTCACTTGCTGAAACTCAAATTGCCTTGGGAATACACTTATGTACAAAGGTATCTTAGATATTTTACTCATATCCGTATTTGTCAAGTTATTCTAATTAAGACTTGAAAGCGCAATGGCAGAACGAAGCACTGATATGATTCATACTTAGAAAGTTGAAGTACGGAAGGTTATGCTTCTTGACATCTAACCATGGACATCGATTTGATCTATTGGGGTTTAGATGGTCATCACAGTATCAGATCAATGTCGAAACTTATCTGCATTAATTCCTCACAGACCATAAAATGTGCAGGATGTCATATTATAATAAGCTAAAACCAGTGCATCTGCGTCTTTTGATAACAACATGGATGCTTCATTAACACGAGAATTAGATTGACAAAATTAACAGTAGATTATGTATGATGCGTCCAGTCTTAAAATCTCAAGATTGGTTACAAGTCTGATCAAGTAGTTGTGGGGTTTTAAAACTCGCGTTCAATAATTTCGTAATATATTTAAGTAAAATTTATGTCAACCTCACTGACATACTCCAGTTCCATTTTTTGTTAAAGGAGCTCTGTGTCTTTGTTTTTATTTAAAATAACGAGGAATCATCGTCTGCTTACACATTTTCCCCGACTATTTCCTAATTTGCCCGCAAGTGATTACTGACTTATATCTAGTGATTTTGTGTAAGTATTATACCAAACATGGTGTAGTACGCACATTCAATAATAACTTAGCCATCATTATTTGGGAATTCAGGAAGGCCACCCTCTATCTAATGGACCGAGAGGTCCTACTTTCACTTAAAAGTAGAAACTTTGTTTGCGATTTTAGAGACAAATAGGGGATTCTGAGATTATACCCGTTCTCAAACCAATGGGTTCACAATGAGATAAAACGAAGTTTATTTTGCATTTGCCAGTCCGTAGATGGATAACGAGAGTGCAAATATGCGAAGTAGATTCAAGTGCGATATATTTAGTCCATTGAAAACCTAATTTTGCACTTACAAGTTGCAATTAATTTCATAGTTGAATTGCATAATCAAGCTAAACATTGGATGTACCCTTATTGATAATGGTAGTAATAGTTATCCCTTATAATAATTTCAAATTTTACCATTATATAAATGAGGGAATTTAATTTTTTGGCTGTCCTAATTATTTACCCTACCTTATTTGAGTTTTCTGTTGTTGTCTGACTTCGGTTATTTTCCGTCTTACACATTAAGTAATTAATCGCATTTTAGATTATTTCGTCTATCCTTCCCATGTTCCATTGTACAATTCCCACCCAAAAGAGTACTTAAGAATGCTAAAGTATGAATGCGGAAATAATAAATTAATAATTGGCATTATCTTTAAATGTTATTTCAATACCTTGTAAGGCCACACAGCATCACTTCGTTGATAAATAAATGCTACTGATTTTAAGCACTACAAGTATACTTAACAAGAGTGCAGTTCTGTATAACGTTTTGAGTTTATGCTATGGTTCTAGGATTCAAGTCGTAGATTTCTCTGTTACTCAGGAAACGGTCATTTCTTTTAGCAATACCACTTAATAGCCAAGACGTAAACATTGGTAGGCTGTGAACACATCGGCAAGTCCATTTGAAAGGGCGTAAAAACTGCCTCGATTTTTTAAGCATGACTTGTTTGTATCATCATCGGAGCAGCTTACAGGGTAGCTTTGAGGGGGTTGAGTGGTCCACTACCATGACTCCATATAGTGTAGCTAGTTGAGAGTTTTGCTTCCGTTTGAATAAACTGTCTGCATTGTAAAAAAATATCCTTTGAATCCATGACTAATTTATCACCAAACACTAATCGAGCCAGTGTTGGACTAAATAGTGCTATCGTAGAAACAAAAGATTTCGTGGTATAAATGCAAACACATAGGTTAACCAAACCTAGTGGTCGGTGGACCGATGCAAGCATTTGCAGTTTGTGGAAGTAATTAGAATCAAGACACATTTATATCACCCACAAGGCGATTTTTGTTTTAGGGCGCTAGCATTTTAGTTTCAAAGTTTTCTAAGAGTCAGTGGAATAGATTTCTGGAAGCGCTTGTTCGAAAGCGAATAATTAAATATGTCACACAGGTAGTTATAAAGTAGCAATGGTAAGAAAGTAGAAGTACAGATTAAACGCCCATTAAATCGCTACAAATTATCTTTTATGACGCCCATATAATCGCCCGTGCCTATTTGCATAATGCCAAAAATACGAGCATATATGCTCATTTTTACGGAAAACACAATTTCAAAAAACTTTCAATGCTCTTATACAAATGAGATATTTCAAGAATATATTTTTAGAAAAAGGTTACAATTCCGTTTAAGCAGTAAAACAACCTCTTTTAACGTGAAAGTAGATCCCCGTTGGGTCTTTCAGATTCCAGGCCATACTTTTATACCTTGGAATGCTACCTTTTTAAATAAAACGTCAGATATGTTACTTTTAGAAATGTTTGAGGTGATGAGGGAGAGAACGGTTCTTTTCATCCATATCAGTGAATAAGTGGTACGTATACTAAAAGATGACAGCAATCCTGTGAGGCTACTAGGTAAATCTGCATCGTCCCTCACTTACACTGTAAAGGCACCGTGTTTGGCTGAGTGAGTGATTTGTGACGTTCAACGTTTATTGAGCGGGAAAACGAATCATTTGCGATCCCAAAACGACGCACTCACCACCCACGGCACGATTCAGAGGTTATGTGGCACTTCAATCCTAGAAAAGTGGGATATATAAGCCTGATACTAATCGCAAGGCAGCTTGAAGGTGTAGAAGCGGAACAATGCATTGAGGAACCGAAAGGACTAGTGAGCTAGTGGAAAGAGAGTTTTGAGCTTAAAAGATGAGGCAATGCCTCCTACTGCACACGACAAAACTGACCAGCGGCAAGATTTGCGCTTTAGCTCGAGAGGATTGGGGAATGGGGGGGGGGGGGGGGAATGCGAAAGAGAGGAAGATAATACTCCATCCTCATTCTTGGTATTCTCCTTATGGTATTCAAGAAATGACCACCCCTCCTTGGCATCAGCAGATAATCAAAAGCGAAATAGAAAGAGGAATAAAATGCGGAAGTGACCAAGGTGAAGTTCATTGCGTTTAGAGACGACGCTGTTCATAATTGTTGACATCCGCAATTTTGTACCTCGTTGGGAGGGGGACAGTAGTCTAGAATGTTACTTGTTCTCGTAATTTAAGTTTAAAAGAATTGCTTGTGGCAATATTGCTTTCATACTAAAAATGCAGCGAACAAATTTGGCTACCTTTTATCACAGCATGAATAAAAGTAGTTAACCCTATTTGATTTTCCAGAAGAAAGGCTTATAACACCTATTAGTGTAACCATAGCACAAAATATGCGCCGCTTTGTTTTGTGCCTAAGTATGAATGAATTACATGAGGGACCTAAATTTAGCATCATTTTCAAACTTCAAAGTTGACCACCGTGATAAACTGAATATAAGTTGCACAAACACTTTTGTACGCCATTCACCTATAATTCACAAGACTTGCATTAAGACTACTTTATCCCCGAAGTTGAAAATGGGTCCTAGACTTCGATACGAATAGTATTTTGTATTGAGCATGGGTCAAAGCTCATGAAGTTTTTAGGCGTACACGAAAATGATTGGTCGGTGCGTTGGCCAATAGGCCATGGCAACATGACATAACAGAGAACTCAAGAGTATATCATTCGAAATCGGGTCAAAATGGAACACATGCAGAAGGTTTGCATCATTTCCAATATGTTTATCAGTTTTGCTATGGTAATGCAACGGAGTGTTTTTTCGGAGTCTTAGTTCTGTTGGAATAGGTAGTTTGAAGCGCACATCCATGCAAGCCATAGCTTAAAGAAATGCAAACATGATGAAATGTGAACATCTTGTGTAAAAAATGTATTTTATTAGCAATGGGGAAATTCAGTGATTTTGGTTTGTTGCTTCTACCCATTTGTTTATCGTAGGTGGTAACCTCGCGTAAGTTTCTTTCTAAATTCAATTATTCAAAGCACCCTTTTGGTGTCCACTACTTGAACAAGTTCGTTGCAATCCATTTAACCGCATTCGTTCGTTTACGCAACTACACAAATTATTTTGCATACTTTTATATTCTGATAAAAGTGGTCGACGGTATATGGTTGTGTCCTTTTTGAGTAGGAAGGAAGTTTTCTGTCTTATTGCTTTTAAAAGCATCGCTCCGTGTAATTCAAAGTATGTCCTCATTTTGAAGCAACTTTCTGTTTCTATGATAAAAAAAACAAGGTTATTTTCTTGTTCTAATATTCGTGTAAGGAATCATTTTCATAAAATACAGGATAGATTACTGGGCAAGATGGGATAGGAGCGCTTACTCACTAGATGAAATCCAATAAGAATGAGGAAAGTAATAAGTACCTTGCACAACTCAAATAGTCAAAGTAAATAATTTTGAA